AGATACTTGATATTATTTTGACTTTTTAAAATTTGTTGAGACTTGTTTTGTGCCCTAACATAATATGGTCAGTCTTTGACAATGTTCCATGTGCTGATGAAAAGAATACATATTCTGCAGTTGTTGGGTAGCATGTTCTGTAAATGTCTGTTAGGTCCATTTGCTTAAAGTCAGGTTTCAGTCCAATGCTATTGTATCAATCCATTCTCACAGTGCTATGAAGAAATACCTGAGACTGGGTAATTTATAAAGAAAAGAGGTTTAATTGACTCACAGTTCTGCATGGCTGGGGAGACCTCAGGAAACTTACTATCAAGGCGGAAGGCACCTCTTCAAAGGGTGGCAAGAGAGAGAATGAGAGCAGGGCAAAGAGAGAAAAGCCCCTTATTAAACCACCCCCCAACCCATGATTCCATTACCTCCACAAGATCCCGCCCATGATATATGGGAATTATGAGAACTATAATTCATGATGAGATTTGGGTGAGGACACAGCCAAAGTATATCATTTGGCCCCTGGCCCCTCCCAAATATCATGCTCTTACATTTCAAAATAGAATCATGCCTTTCCAACAGTCCCCCAAAGTCTTAACTCATTCCAGCATTAACCCAAAAGTTCAAGTTCAAAGTCTTATTTGAGACAAGGCAAGTTCCTTATGCCTATGAGCTTATAAAATCAAAAGCAAGTTAGTTACTTCCAAGATACAATGGGAGTACAGGCATTGGGTAAATACAGCTGCCCCAAATGGGAGAAATTGGCCAAAACAACGGTGCTACAGGCCCCATGTAGGTCTGAAATCCAACAGGGCAGTCATTAAACCTTAAAGTTCCAAGATGATCTTCTTTGAGTCCATGTCTCATATCCATGGTGTGCTGATGCAAGAGGTGGGCTCCCATGGCCTTGGGAAGCTCCACCCCTGTGGCTTTGCAGGGTAAAGCTCCCTTCTTGGCTGCTTTCATGGGCTGGCATTGAGTGTATGCAGCTTTTCCATGCGCACAGTGCAAGCTGTTGGTGGATCTACCATTCTAGGATCTGGAGGACGGTGGCCTTCTTCTCACAGTTCCACCAGGCAGTGCCCCAATGGGGACTCTGTGTGGGCTCCGATCTCACATTTCCCTTCTGCACTACCCTAGTAGAGGTTCTCCATGGGGGCTCTGAACCTGCTGCAAACTTCTGCCTGGACATCCAGGTGCATCCGCTGCAATCTAGGTGGAGTTTCCCACACTTCAATTCTTGACTTCTGTGGACCCACAGGCTCAACACCACATGTAAGCCACCAAGGCTTGGAGTTTGCACCCTATGAAGCAATGGCCTGAACTGTACATTGGCCCCTTTGAACCAGGGCTGGAGTTGAAGCAGCTGGGACACAGGGCACCATGTCCCGAGGCTACATAGAGCAGGGGAGCCCTGGGTCTGGCCCAGGAAACCATTTTTCCCTTCTACACCTCCAGGATTGTGATGGGAGGTTGCTGTGAAGGTCTCTGACATACCCTAGAGACATTTTCCCCATTGTCTTGGTGATTAACATTTAGCTTCTCATTACTTATGCAAATTTCTGCAGCCAGCTTGAATTTCTCCCCAGAAAATGGGGTTTGCTTTCTGTTGTGTCATCAGGCTGCAAATTTTCCAAACTTTTATGATCTACTTCCTCTTGAATGCTTTGCTGCTTAGAAATTTCTTCTGCCAGATACCGTAAATTATCTCTCTCAAGTTCAAAGTTCCACAGATCTTTAGGGAAGAGGCAAAATGCTGCCAGTCTCTTTGTATAGTAAGAGTGACCTTTACTCCAGTTTTCAACAAGTTCCTCATCTCCATCTTAGACCACCTTAGCCTAGACTTCGTTGTGCATATCACTATCAGCATTTTGGTCAAAGCTATTCAACAAGTCTTTAGGAAGTTCCAAACTTTCCAACATCTTCCTGTCTTCTGAGCCCTCCAAATGGTTCCAACCTCTGCCTGTTACCCAGTTCCAAAGTTACTTCCACATTTTTGGGTATCTTTATAGCAGTGCCTTACTCTCTGCAGTACCAATTTACTGTATTAGGCTGGGAGCAGTGGTTCATGACTGTAATCCCAGTAATTTGGGAAGCAGAGGTGGATGGATCACTTGAGCCCAGGAGTTTGAGACTAGCCTGGCCAACATGGTGAAAATACAAAATACAAAAATTAGCTGGGCGTGGTGGCACGCACCTGTAATTCCAGGTACTCGGGAGGCTGAAGCAGGACAATCACTTGAACCCAGGAGGTGGGGGTTGCAGTGAGCTGAGATTGTGCCACTGCACTCCAGCCTGGGTGACAGAATGAGACTTTGCCTAAAAAAAAAATCACTATATTAGTCTGTTCTTATGCTGCTATGAAGAAATACCTGAGACTGGGTAATTTATTAAGAAAAGAAGTTTAATTGATTCACAGTTCTGCATGGCTGAGGAGGCCTCAGAAAACTTACAATCATGGTGGAAGGCATCTCTTCATAGGGTGGCAGGAGAGAGAATGAGAGCTGAGCAAAGGGGGGAAAAGCCCCTTATTAAACCATCACCCCCCATGATTCAATTACCTCCCACTGCATCCCTCCCACAACATGTGGGGATTATGGGAACTACAATTCAAGATGAGATTTGGGTGGGGACACAGTCAAATGATATCAGTTACTTTGTTTATTTTCTGTCTAGATAATTTGCCTAATGCTTTCAGTGGGGTGTTGAAGCCTCTCACTATTATTGTATTGTAGTCTACCTCTGTCTTTAGACATAGTAATTTTTTTTTTTAATGAATCTGGTTGTTCCAGTGCTGGGTGTATATATATTTACAATTGTTATATTCTCTTACTGAATTGATCCCTTTATCATTATAAAATAAACTTGTTTGTTGTTGTTTTTTACTGTTTTTGACTTAAAGTCTGTTTTACCTAATATAATTATAGCTATTTCTGCTTGCTTTTGGTTTCTGTTGGCATGGAATATCTTTTTCTACCTCTTTACTTTCAGTCAATATGTTTTTACAGGTAAGGTGAGTTTCTTATTAGCAGCATTTAGTTGAATCATTTTGGTTTTTTTTTTAAAGAAATCCATTCAGTCAGTCTATAGCTTTTATGTTGAACATTTAATCCATATATGTTTAAAGTTATTATTGATATGTAGAGTTTTGTTCCTTTTGTCATATTGTTAATTGCTTTCTGGTTATTTTATACATTATTTGTTTCTTTTTCTCTTACTGTTTGTCACTGTGGATTGGTGGAATTCTGTAGTGGTGCTATTTGATTCATTTCTGTTCCTCCTTTGTGTGATCGCTTTAACAGTGAATTTCATACTTTCATGTGTTTTCATGATGCTAAATGCCATCTTTTTGCTTCCAAGTTTAGGATTTCCTCGAAGACTTCTTGTAGGGTCAGCCTCGTACAGACAAATGCCCTCAGCATTTGCTTGTTTGGGAAATACTTTATTTCTCCTTCATTTATGAAGGCTAATTTTGCTGGATATAGAATTCTTGGCTGATGGTTGTTTTCTTCCAGCTCTTTGGCCTGTCAGCTTTCTGCTGAGAAGTATGGTTATTAGTCTGATTGGGTTTCCCTCACAGTTGATGAGATGTTTTTCTCTTGCTGTTTTTAGAATTCACTCTTTGACTTTAGATAGTTTGATTCTAATGTGCTGTGGTGAAAACTTTTTTTTTTGCATTGTATTTGTTGGGGGAATCACTGCACCTCCTATATCTAGATGTTTAAATCTCTTGCTAAACTTGCGATGCCTTCATCTATTATTGCATTAAACAGGTTTTCTAAGCCTTCTGATCTTTTTGTCCTTGGGGATACCAATAATTCAAATATTCAGCTGATTTATGTTGTCCCAAATGTCTTAAAGGCTTTGTTTATTCTTTTTTATTTTTGTCTTACTGGATTGTTTCAGACATGTAATCAAGTTCTAAAAATTTTTTTTTCTACCTAGTCTAGTCTATTATTAAAGCTTTTGAATGTATTTTATATTTCCTTCAATAAATTCTTCAATTCCAGAACTTATGTTAGGGTTTTTTTAAAAATAAAAATCTATCCCCTTGTAAAATTTTTCATTCATATCCTGAATTGTTTCACGGAGTTCTCTGTATTGGTTTTCAGATTTATCTTGCACCTCACTGACCATATTTAAAAATCAGTAATTTGACTTCCTTATCTGAGACTTTAAGAATTTCATTCCAGTTACGATCTATTGCTGGAGAATTGTTGTGTTCATTCTGGGGTGTCATATTTCCTTGTTTTTCATGTTTCCTGTGAGACTCTGAATTTCTATCAAGTTTCCAGTTGATGCCAATAATGCTGATACCACACAGCCTTTCTCAACCAGCATTCATTATCTGAACCATGGAACACAGAGAATATTTTGAGTGGCTCTTTTCTCAATTCTCCCAAGGATGGTACCTAACCAGAACCATTCTAGATACAAAGCAGGACACCGATTCCTTACATGCAATTAGTGCCTTTGGTTTAGGCCTTAATTTTTTTGAGGAAATTTGGTTGAGAAAGCTGTCTTTGTAAAGCTGCTGAAGAGAAAGATAGGCTCAGACTCTGAAAAAACTATACCATTACCATCTTTAATTCTAACCAGTCTATTGTATCAATGATATAATATCAATGATAATGAAATAATTGGACTAATAGTGTTTTGGTCTATGAAATATCATCTATTAATTCAGTAATTATTTGTGGAGTACCTGCTATTTAGCACTGTGATGCTGAAAACATTTGAAGAATAAATGATGAAATAATTATTCATAACTTTTAAGCAACTTCTTCCTGGTGTTCATTGTTAAACTTAAGTGAAATATCTGTACATGACTCAGATACTTTAGAAAAATATTCTCATCAAAAAATCCCAGCACAATTAAAAAGATTTAATAAGGTATTTGTGATGCCTCCTCACATAATTCTCACAATTCTGGGGATAGCCTAATAATCACTAGCTGTTGACAGAGAGAAGAAATAGCCAAATCCAATAGCTTCAAAGGACCATACCTCGAATGCATGATTGTTATAGAAGCGGTCTTCTACCTTACTCCCCCATTCTGCTGGATCAAAGTTGGTTTCTAAATAATAAAAATATAGTAACTTCAGATTTACTTGATTTCATTAAGGTAAATGTAGAATTAGTAACACAAATATAAGTTTCTCGTTTCAAATTATAGGTTCTTTACTGACAGTCCAAAATCTTATTGACATTGTACATAGCCTAGCACTGCAGACATTACCCGTGATTATTAAATATATAATAACCAACTGAACATTGGATAAGCCTTTGGGGATATTTAGAAAAGCACTAAAAACATAATTTCTGCCTTCATAGAATTTATAATAAAAAGGGAAAAAGAACAAATGCCAGTACTTAAATATAAATGTAGACACTTAGAACATGTATTAGTAAACACAGAAAAATGTATAAAACTAAATGCTAAGTTGTCAGAAAGTTTGGAAAAGTGAAGGATGGGAGAAATTTTTTTTAATGAAGTATATTAGGTAGACAGTTGACATAGACAAGGAGAGGTATTTATTTTTAAATAATTTTTTCTTTAACTTTATGTTATGAAAAATTTCAAAGCTAAAAAGTAGATAACAAACTCCCATAAGCATATTGTCTAGATTCAATGATCAACCCATGATTTATTTTATCTATAACCTTTTCTTCTAATTATTTTTCTGCACTTTCTTCTGATTTTTTTTAACCCAACCCCTCCCTTGCATCCTGTTATTTTATCTACAATTATTTATTTCACAATGTATCTCAATATATACTCTCTTAAAATATAACCACAACACCATTATCATACTTCAAAATACTAAAAATATTAACAATTCCCTAATATCCTCAACTATTCAGTCAACTATCCAAATTTCTTCCATTGTCTGTTTATTTGTTGGTTCAAATCAGGACCCTGAAAATGGGCATGCACAACCCTTTGTATGTCTTTTAAATTTCTTTTAAAGGAAGATCCCCCAGTCCCTATTCTTTCCTTGCAATTTATTTGTTGATGAAATTAGGTCATTTTCTCTTTGGAGTTTTTCACAGTTCAGATGTTTCTGATGATCCCCATGGTGGCTTTTAACAAGTTCTTCTGCCTTTGAATTTCCTGTAGACTGGCAGCTAGATGTATAGATTTGATCTGATTCAGGTTTGATGGTTTGATTTTTTTTCTGCAAGTATACTTGATTGGTAGTGCTGTGTAATTCTGTCATAAAATTTATAATGTCTGGTTACTCTTTTTATAATTTTTATCGGCCCCCTGATGATCTTTGCTTAGATCATTTCTTTAGGGGATGTGAAATGGTAATGCTCTAATTTGATCAATACTTTTTTATTTTCTGGAGTACTCATTAAAGAAAACTTTTTCTCATCAACTGTTTGGTTACTCTGAAGAACAGTTCTTACAGAAAAGAAAGGTTAAAGGTTTAGTTCTTTCCTTTTATTTATCAGTTTTCAGAATAATCAGTTGGATTCCTAGGATCCTCTCAAGATGACCAATGAGTTTTTTCTTTAACCATCACAAATTCATGAATGTTTAGGAAAATGGATTCATTTCAATCCAATGCACATATTATTCTTATTGATGCTCTAATTATTAAACATTTGTCTAGTGGTAGCTTATTCAGGTGCTCAAATGTTCCTGAGTCCTTTGGAAACACCTCTAGCAACCTTTGATAGCTTCCTTGTTTTCTGGTATGGCAAGACGTTCAGCCTAATCTTGTATGTTTCCTGCCAAGTTCATGAAATTAGCTTGTTCTCCAAGAAGCCCTCATTCCTGGGAATGGTATTTAGAGATGACAACCTAGAAGCTGAGTGCTCACTGGTACTAGGTTGGTCATTCTTTTGAGGCCTTTAATGTACAGAGCTAGAAAATACTTCTTTCATTTTTTAAAGAGAAAACATGAGGTTACACTGATATTTTTCAACTCAAATTTAAGATTACAGGATTTTATTAACCTCTTTCATCTTCATAATTATATGTTATTTTTCCTACACCAAAAATCTTATTCCTAATAACACTAGCTTAGTTCCTTACTTGCTTTGTTCTACAATACATAAATTCAATATATAATTTCAGAATAACCATACCATAATATGATTAACAATGATTACTGAAAGCAGCTTAAGGGGTTTTTTTTTTTTAAAGTTCATTTTGTTTTTAGGATATATGCACTAGGCACGTACAGTCAAATTGCTCCATTTTAATATCACTTGAAATAATTCCTTTCTGTGTGGTTATGTCACCCAATTTATACTAGTTAGGCTCATATGTTTCACATTTTAGAAACTGCTTTTCTTGGCCGGTGTGGTGGCTCACGACTGTAATCCCAGCACTTTAGGAGGCCGAGGGGGGCGGATCACGAGGTCAGGAGATCGAGACCATCCTGTCTAACATGCTGAAAACCCGTAACATGCTGAAAACCCGTCTCTACTAAAAATACAAAAAAAAAAAAAAAATTGCTGGGCGTGGTGACAGGTGCCTGTAGTCCCAGCTACTCGGGAGGCTGAGGCAGGAGAATGGCGTGAATCCAGGAGGCGGAGCTTGCAGTGAGCCGAGATCGGGCCATTGTACTCCAGCCTGGGCGACAGAGGGAGACTCTGTCTCAAAATAAATAAAAATTAAAAACTACTTTTTTTTTTTTTTCAATTTTTATTTTGAGACGGAGTCTTGCTCTGTCGCCAAGCTGGAGTGCAGTGGTGCGATCTCGGCCCACTGGAACCTCTGCCTCCCGGGTTCAAGCCATTCCCCTGCCTCAGCCTCCTGAGTAGCTTAACAATTTTAAATTTAAAATTATAACTATGTAAACTTTTATGATTCCAAAATCAAGATATTTTCTATAATGTTCTCTCTAATCTACCCTGTTCACTTTCTCCTAAAGGTAAATGTTAAGTTTTTAAAGATTTACTTTTCCATTTAAAAATAAAAACAAAGCTGGGCATGGTGCTTCATGCCTGTAATCCCAGCACTTTAGGAGGCAGAGGCTGGCAGATGCTTGAGCTCAGGAGTTCAAGACCAGCCTGGGCAACATGGCAAAACCCTGTCTCTACCAAAAAAACAAAAAACAAAAAACAAAAAACAAAAAACAAAAATTAGCCCAGCGCGTCTGTGCATGCCTGTAGTTCCAGCTACTTGGGAGGATGAAGTGGGACGACTGCTTGAGCCTGGGAGGTTGCAGTGGAGCCACGATCCACAATTATACCACTGCACTCCAGCCTGGGCGACAGAGCCAGAGCCAAACCCTGTGGCAAATACACACACACACACAGATATATATATTTATATCAATCTCTTTTGTTAAATGATAGCACACTGGCCAGGTGTTGTTTCTCACAGCTGTTATGCCAGCACTTTGGGAGGCTGAGGCAGGAGGATCATCACTTGAGCCCAGGAGTTTGAGGCCAGCCTGGACAACACTGTGAGACCCCCCGTTTGTATCAAAAAAATGGTAGCACACTAAGCACACTTTTCCCCATCTTGCTGTTTTCACTGAATATATCCTGAAAATCACTCTACAGTATCATCCATAGTATTATCGAGAGGTCTTTCTCATTTTTGAAAACAGCTATATATATAACTCAGTTGTGTAGATGTATTATAGTTTGTTCACTCAACCTCCTATGGATATTTGGGTTGTTTCTACAAAGAATGATGCACTGAAAAGTGTAGAAGTGGCACTTCTGGGTCAAAGGTTTAATACATATATAATTTTGGTAGGTATTGCTAAGTTCCCCTCCTGGAAGTTATGGCATTTTGCTTATCTACCAGCAATGTATATAAATGCATATTATCCCACAGCCTACAGAGTATGTTGGCTCTTTGCCAATGTAATGGAGGGGTTGTTATTGGTAGCTCAGTGTAGTTTTGATCTGGACTTCTGTTACTATGGATGTTTGAATATCTTTTCATAAGTGCCATTTATGTTCATTTTTGTGTGAATTGTTTGCTCATATCTCTTGCCAATATTTTCTATTGGGTTCTATAAGCCTATAACATACTGTTTTTACAAACTATTTATTTATTAGGGCTATTAACCCATTGGGATGTAAATTGCAAATATTTTTTGTCTTTTGTAGTTTTGTTTTCCTCACAGTGCTTTTTCTCATGTAAAAGTTTAATTTTATGTTGTCAATTTATAACAATCTTTTCTCTAATTGCTTCCAAATTTTGAAGCAATTAAAGCAATTTAGCTAGCAAAATTTTTTCTTCTCATAGAGAAATTCATCCATGTTTTCTTCTAGTATCTGTATGGTTTCTTTTAAAAAACATTTATATACTCGACTAATTTGGAATTTGTCCTTGTATATGATATAAGAAATTGATCCAATTTTATCTTTTTCCTTCTTTATCTTAAAATAATAAAAAGTCCACCTTTTTCCTAGTGACCTGAAATACCATTTAAATCATATACTAACATGTTTCCTGTCACACAAATAAAAATTAAGAGTAGTAACCACCTATGATGAATGCTGGCAAGGGAATTCTTGCATTGTGTGGGGACTGAGCCAGAAGTCCATAGTGATTATTTTTTTTTCCTTTTTGAAGAGACTGAATTCTGATACTTACATCTTCTGGATAATTTGCCTTTGGTTGACATGGGTGGAATTGGGTGTGGTGCTTACAATTTTTTCAAATGGTTTTACTCATTGTTTATTAGAGAGCTAGTGTCCTAAGACCATTAATCTGAATCATTATTTGCTTTAATTATTGTGATCCAGTAACAATGACGCAAATGTTTTTATAATGGAATGTTTCTGAGTTCTAAAATTAAATAAATGACTAAAGACTTTTACTGCATGAATTTGTAGTTAATCTTATAATAAAATTAATGTTCATTACAATTCACCTCTTTTCCCAAATAATTTTTTTCCCCTTCCAACTTTTATTTTAGGTTCAAGGGACACATGTGCAGATTTGTTACATGGTTAAATTCTGTGTTAAGGGGCTTTGGTGTAGAGACAATTTTGTCACCAAGGTAATCAGCATAATGCCTGATAGGTAGCTTTTCAATCCTCACTCTCCTCCTACCTCTGCCCTCAAATAGGCCCCCAAGTCTATTGCCAAATGATTTCTCTTAATAACTTTCCTCTTCTACATATAGTTTATCAAATGTGCTCAGTGGAAAATATTTAACGTTTCAGATTGTGCAACAAATATTCCCACTGACCGGATATGGAAAAGACCAGCAACATTCAGGAAATTGGCAGAGATTTTGAGCTCTGTGAGGGCAGGGCATAAAAAGCAAGGGGTGGAGCTATGCAGTGTGTATGGGAGTTGTTTTAATTCCACCCTTGTACCAGGTTTTCTTCCACTATAAAATTATTACAATTGAATGTTTGTTTGCTTGTGCCTGTTTCTAGTCACCTTTACCACTCCGTTGGAATACTGTAATAAAAAGTAATGATGACAAGAATTTACACAAAATGGATATTCTAATCAAGAATGGCTTTCCGGGGGTTGGGGCGGGGGTCACAGGAGTGGGGAAGGGGACTCACTGTGTTGCCCAGGATGGAGTGCAGTGGCTATTCACAGGTTTACTCATAGCTCACTACTGTCTTGAATCCCTGGGCTCAAGTGATCCTCTTGCTTCAGCCCCTGAGTAGCTGGTACTAAAGGTGCGCACCACCATGCCTGGCTAAGGATAGGTTTTTAGTACCAAACTGGTAAAGTCCTGACAGTCATAAACCTTCAAGGTTGGGGATTTATAAATTTTATTATGGGAGTGAAGGAATTTTGCTTTGGCTTTCAACCAAAGAGTTATTGTTAGTGGGGATCTGGGTCTCTGTGCAGGATGGAATTTAGCATAAAGAATATAAATTACGTTTCCAAGCTGGTAGTTCGCCTTTCAAAGCAGGTTGTCTGTGCCGTTATTGCAGAACAGTTTCATATACCCCAGTGAATATCAGTTTATTTAAGGAGTGCAGAATTCTTTTTGCAGCACTTATAATACTTACAAATGGAAGGAATCAAAATTGAAAGGAAACTACAGATACTCATTTCAGGAATAATAGTCAGCTGCCAGGGATGCACAAGAACAGTGTGCTGGAACGTGACGAGGGTAGACTATATGATCTTTTTTCCCCCACTGATTTCTCCCAAGAAATGTATGTTCTTTTGCAGTTACCGTCCACACTGCATGCCCATGAGAAATACAATGAAGATGGTCTGAATAATGAACTGGTAATTTTCGATAATACGGAACGAATTTAAGAAAACATATCAAAGAGGTACATACTGTTTCAAAGAGCAAGAACTGTTAACGGAAACTCCCTGCCTCATAAAGGCTTTCTGCAGAATGGAGATGGTCTTAAGCAAGTTTTACTATAAACAAATGCTTAGTTTCTTATTTTAAAAAATGACTAATTTTAGAAAGCTTACTCTCTCTTTTCTCTAGAAGGCTCTCAAAATAGGCTGCTGCAAAAGCTGGTATATTGTCCGGTTGCTCTCTCAGAATCTCGCGTGTCAGCCCTTCAAGAAGATTCCCAAATCCTTGTGGAATTCGGTAGTGGGTGTTGGAGAATGGAATCGACATCTTCTTGGTAAGAACTGCCTATGGAACCTAAAGATTCATTAAAGAATACTGTCTTTAAATTTATCTGATTTTACTTTTATAATCACAACTATGCCAACAAATTATTTCTGAGACCCACATTTTTTTAACTTGAATTCTTTTTTCTCTAACACAACCCAAGTCCATCTATTTCTTCCAAAGGGTTTTGAAATCTCCATTATGGATTAGAAAAATACAAATACAGACCCATTCACTAGGCCAAATCATTTTTTTTAAACCCTACAAAAAACCCATAATTTTCAATATGACTTTTTCTCTTTACCCTTTGTATTCTCAAAAGGTAAGGGTAATTTTTGCTATCACACAGGAATTTAGAGAGAATGATTGTTAAAAACTTAAATTGAATTCATTATCAATTGCTGAGAAGACCCTCTTTGAGGTCTATTTTTTTTTTTAAAGAGTAGAAATTAGTCCTGGTTCTAGAAATTAATTTGTTGAATGAAGAAATTGCACAACCTTTCCCTTTGCTGCCACTTCTGAAGCATGGCCCACAATGCTTCGAACACCTTTGTACTGTGGAATGGGGTTGTGCCTGCGTGTGTGTGAGGGAGGGGAGGGATGGGATGGGATGGGGCTGTGTGCCATGATTTTGAAATCCCAGCCTCTAAAGTTTTAGAATTCTTATATTTTCCGGTTTCTTCCTGACTAGGCTGTCTCTCTCTGTCTTGCAATACAAGGGCCAGATTAAGGGTAGCTGCTAAGCAGTGGGCTGAGCTGCTGAGTATGAAAAGACCTGGCCTGTTAACCTGGCTGAGTATGAAAAGACCTGGCCTGTTAACGTGAGAGTGTGCGTCAATGCGGAATAGAGGTGGAAGCCGTGGTAGGGGTGCAGGTTGGGAGAACTAGGCGGTTTGATGAGACTATGGAGGGTTCTCGTTTCATCGCTTTTTTCTTTTTTTCCTTTGAGACGGTGTCTCTGGCCTGGAACTCCTGGGCTCCAGCGATGCTCCCGCCTCAGCCTCCCGAGCAGTTGGGATTACAGGCGCGCGCCACCACGCCTGACTCCTCTCTTTTGCTTTTTCTGAGGGAGCAGTAGATAGAGGTATCGAACCATTCTAGGGTGGTGAAAAGGGCTGGCGAGATTCTGAACCAATGTGGGCAGAGGAGGGCTGGCGGGGGGGCAGACGTTGAGGACCTGGGATTTCAGATTCGTGCAGAATGGGCTGCCTCGGCTCCAAACGGCCCAGGGCTCCGAGGATGTGTCTGGGATGCAGAGAGAGTACAAGAGACGAAGGGAAAAGGCTAGGTCTCGGTGTCGGAGAGGAAGTGGGGAAGCGGCCTCACCTCCTTTCTCTCCAAGCAGGTGCCACCGGTTCCGGTTGTTTTTCTCGTTGCTGGGTAACCGTTTTTACTTAAAAAAAAAAAAAACAAAACTACGGCGGCCGAGAAGGGGAGCGCACGGCCCAGTCCTGAGGTCGCGGGAGGCTCCGAGGACTGCAAAAGGGTGGAGCCGGCCTCACCCCCGCCCAGGCCCCGCCCCTGCCCAGGCCCCGCCCCCGCCGGGAGCCCACCTTCCCAGTCCCGAGCGGCGGGCGGATCCTTGCAAGCATGGTGGCGCCGGGGCTTGTACTCGGGCTGGTGCTGCCATTAATCCTGTGGGCCGACCGAAGTGCAGGTGAGGCGGCCCGGCTCGGCCGGACCCCTGCCCCTCAGCCTGTGCGGGCTCCGAGACCCCGTGTCCCCTGGGGGACACGGATCCGCGCCCCTTTCTCAAGGTCGACGAAGGAACCTAGCTAGGCTAGGTGCTCGCGTCTCTGACCTAGGCCCGGTCTGCAGGGGTCTGCTGGGTTGGACCCCGGCCTCTCCACTTTCTCCACCCCCACTCACCATTCCTAACAGGCAGCCTGTGCGCAGGAAGAAAGTGCGGTTTGTCTTAGTGGGGAGGCCCAAATGTGCCCAGAAAGAGGCTTTCGGGGTCCTGGAGTAACTGCAGGGGAGCTCGGAGGAAAGGAGGGGAAGCTAGTTAGATAATATTTGGAAACAGGTGACTGAATCTTCCAAAACATTTCAGCGCTACCCCCTCAGTGGTGCCCTTGGGGAGGGTTTGCTTCAGGCGGGGTTCCTTAGGGGAATTAAATTTTACTCGTTTAAGTGGTTATTAGGGCTAAGAAATACAACCCCCTCACTAGCTCAGACTATTTAAGGCTCAGTTTTGATTTCTGGTGCAGCTTACAGATATTGGTGGTGAGATAATGTGAGTGGCATAAGGGAGGATGCTGGCTCGCTTTGGCTGTTGTGCAGGTCAGATCTTGATCTTGCCATTTGAATACCCTAGGCTGGATACTGGGTCACAGTATGGAGAAAGCAGAAGGTACAATCTGTCTGATAATGCAAACTAAAGTGATAATAATGTTGGATTTCTTCCTTTCTTTTTAAAAACTCTCAAAGCGTGGACCCCAGCGATCCCTGTTAGGAAATGAAAGTTTGGGCAGAACAGCCTGCAGAAAAATGAACGCTGCTCTACCTGACAGCCAGAAAAGTACCTAGCTTCAGACAAACTGCAGGCCATCAATGATTGTTTAGAGTCTAACAAAAGTGCAAAATGCTAGCACTCTGTATGCCATTTCCTGACTCTTATCTCCACTCAGTGACCTTTGAGATCCATCTTATGAGGTAGGGAGAAGATATTTTATTAGATTTTCAGTTAAAGGCTGTTTATTTTAGTGTCAGTATTTTATCCTCCTTTGGGTCGTATTGTTACATCACCTTCATTAACATTGATCACATTTTTCATTCATTAGTACTCTACTTGGTTGCATAGTCTGACATTTTTCCTTTAAATCATTCTCCCTGTGCCCATGTTTACCATGTAATACTTGAGATGTACAAAATTATATGTAGCAATAACACAATAAAATGAACACCCATGAGAGCAGCACCCAACTTAGAACTAGAACACTGCCAGTCTATTGAGCCTGGCATTGTGCTCCTTGTCAATGCCACCGGAACTCCTCACCAGAGGCAACCACTGTCCTAATTGTGTTATTCCACTTTTAATGATTGTCTTTTCCCCATAACACTCATTCCTGTTTTTCTACTCCAGCCTCAAATGAAGGAAAAAACTGAAGACCTAAAAAATCCGAATGTTGGCTCACACCTTTAATCCCAGCACTTTGGGAGGCTGAGGTGGGCAGATCACTTAGAGTCAGGAGTTCAAGACCAGCCTGGCCAACATGGCGAAACCCCATCTCTACTAAAAATACAGAAAAATTGGCCAGGCACAGTGGCTCACGCCTGTAATCCCAGCACTTTGGGAGGCCAAAGTGGGCGGATCATGAGGTCAGGAGTTCGAGACCAGCCTGGCCAACATGGTGAAACCCCATCTCTACTAAAGATACAAAAAAAAATTAGCCATGTGTGGTGGCACACGCCTGTAATCCCAGCTACTTGGGAGGCTGAGGCAGGAGAATTGCTTGAACCCTGGAGGCAGAGGTTGTGGTGAGCTGAGATCGTACCACTGCACTCCAGCCTGGGTGACAGAACAAGACTCTGTATCAAACAAACAAACAAACAAACAAAATCAAATGTTAAATGTATATGTCTTGTGTTTGACACAAGGAATGACCAGCCTTGCTCTCTTTCTCGTTCTCTCTCTTTTTTTTTGTCCATTGTACAATTCCTTGATGTTCCACTGTCTAATGAGCTTAGAATTTAAACATTACAAAGACAAGGAATATGATTTTTTCTTTGATTTGCCGCAAGTATCTAACTTAGGCAAAGAAGGAATTTCAAGTTTGGAATCAAGTGACTTGTTTTCTAACTTCGTCATAAACTATGTGATTTGAGACCAAAGGACATTAATGTTTGTGGTGTGTTTAGCACTGTGCCTGCCACAGGTAAAGTCTCTAGTAGAGTGGAAGCTCCCTGCGGGCAAGGATTTTTGTCTGTTATTATTATTATTATTTTGTCATCGTTATATCCCCAGTGCTTAAAATAGTAGGTATCAATAAATATTTGTTGAATTAACTAATGAACATGCAAGCTATTTTAAAAAATTGTTTAATCTGCCTTTGGTCTCAGTTTCTTGATCAGTAATATGATTATGCTTCTTGATCAGTAAGTAACATGTTTATACTACGATTATGAAGATCCTTTCCACCTCTAAAACTCTTTAGCCCAGCACAGAGTCATTCACAAAGATGTTCATTAAGTGTATATTGCTGAAAACAGACAGACTTGGAAAGGTATTTCTCCTAGCCTATGGGCTACTGACTGCACACAAATGTGCAAGCTGCAGCCATTCCCCTACCCCCACCCTCTCTCTACTTAGCTCTTATTTATGTCTGTGGTTTTCCTTTTTTTGGTTCCATATGAAGCACCTACCCAAGACAAGGCCCTCCCACACATGTGCCTCCCCCTTCCCCCCAGCAGGCTGCCAACCTGCTTATGCAATTCTGGGGCGTTGTATTCTTTTCTTAGAGCATTTTGCTCATGGTAGCTGTACATCTCCAACCCAGTAGGCCTTCTGGGTGATCTTTCATTGTCATGTAGGTTTCATGATCACAGTAGGTTTCATGATATTTGAGCTGAATCATATATAGCTCATAAGAGAGAGCTGAAGATTTTTAGTGACTTGCCTGTTATTCCAAGAGCAGGATAAATAGGCCACGGAGCTGTGTAGGCGACTCCATTAGCTGGGCTGCCCTGTTAAGTATAGCCGAAGGGGCCCTCATCATTTGTAGCTTCCAGGGAGGAAAATGTCAGCCTTGTTAATTCTGATTCTCTTTTCTGCCTATCATTTTTGTTTAAAATGCTTAAAAAGATCTTAATTTTGTTAATTATTATCTTTTAGGTAATTTGGGGTCTGTTTTATTCAGCTACATTGGGATATAATTTGTTTTATTTTTTTCCTTGTTAAGTTTTGATGAGGAACACGCTGAGATAATTTGGATGGATGTTTGTTATTAATAAAATACTTCTATATAGGCTGGATGTTAAAAATAGGAACGATCTCGTTAAAGCGAGTTCTTATTCAGTCTTGTTAGTGACTCTCTAGAATAGAATCCAGTTTCTAGTGTGCTTTATCTTGTCCTTTTAGTATAATTTAGCTTGTGGAATGGGTAAAATTGTGACTGAAGACTTTTGTTCAGACATGTTGACCTTCTGTCTCTCACTGACCTTATTTATGTGTCTTGATTTATTTGAATTTACCTGAGAAGGATGCTGACTTGTCATGAATATTTATAAGGGCTTATTTAGAATTTTTGATGCAGTACACTGGTTTGTCAAAAAACTGTGATAAGGGGCATTATTTGAAGGAAATTGGCATTAGTGCCATGGAAAAGGGGAGATAGGGAAGGGGAAAAAGATTAGGGAAGGCTGTTTGGAAAGAGGCATGCTGCTTTATTCCCAGCCATTAGGAGTGGGCGTGGTAATGGAAAACAGGGAAAGGAAGTGGTTTATTTTTCTCATAAACACCATCTATAGGGTGCATGAAAGGAGCATTTTAGTGATTTAGCGGGACAGAGCCCAGCGTTAGGGCCAGGCCTGAGAACAAAGACAAATCAAGAGCTCTGAAGGGGAGGGAAGACTATGGTCTGTTGGTTGCTTTGGGCTCTGGGAATTTTCCTTAGTGGTCATCGTGTACTATGATGCATCTGTTGGAAACTGTTCTTGTTATGTTGCTTGCCTAATTAGGAGGGAGAAGATCCAGTTTTAGACGATTAAAGGGACTTAGTATGTTAAAATTCTCGTGCATAAAGACTGTATGTTCTTTGCTGTTTCACTTGATCCAGTTGGTGTTGTATCTCTCCAATGATGCTCCCCTCAGTGTTTGCTAAATTTTTTAGGTATTGGTTTTCGCTTTGCTTCATACATCAATAATGATATGGTGCTGCAGAAGGAGCCTGCTGGAGCAGTGATATGGGGCTTCGGTACACCTGGAGCCACAGTGACCGTGACCCTGCACCAAGGTCAGGAAACCATCATGAAGAAAGTGACCAGTGTGAAAGGTAAGGCAGCCCATCTTCTGTTCAGCTATTGCCCGCTTCTGCCACCTGCTGGATTATCTGAAAATGAATGCTAATGCTGTAGCTCACGTTATCCATCCATCCGTCTGTACATCCGTCTGTCCATTCATCCATAAAAGTTATTTGAATTTTGCCATGTGCTGGGCACTGAGGATACAGAGAAAAATAAGACTGAGTCAAAGTTCCTGTTCTCAAGGAACTTACGGAATAATGGGAATAGATACCAAGTTATATAGGACAGTGTGATGAATGCTATGATGAAGGTACATGTGGGGTGTCTTGGGGTACAGAGGAGAAACATTGAACTCAGACTGGGTGGTAAGGGAAAGTTTCCACAGAAGATGATATTTGAGCTGAATCACAT